GTCGAGGTACTCGACTATAGCGTTCTTCCTTGTTTTTGAATTTAAATGGAATAATTTTTCAACGTGCGTTAGACTCGGATTGTCTATGTATATTGCCGTGAAAAGGTCCCGGAAAGTCGGCCAGCGAAGATAGTCGCCAGAGAAAACCTCTGTGTCGATAGGAGGGAGCCGACAGCCATAAGACGTGGAATTTTGGGACGGAGTTACTGGAGCTTGAGGTATTTGGGAGGAGCCTTTTTGGATTTGTTCCATCAGCTGCGCGGCAAGTATTTCGTAAGTGGAGTACGTTTGGTAATACTTGGACTTTAGTATGGATTTTGTGTCTGCGGCGCTCTCGCCTGCAGATATAATACTGTCGGAGCATATGTCGTATGCTGCCTTTACCGTTTGCCACAAGGAATTGAGGTGATCGCGACGGATTTTATAGGCGGATAACGTTGGTGTAGGAGCACCTGGAGCGTACACAGTGGCCTCAAAGTGGATCAGACAGTCAGCTGTGGCCATAAATCGGGTTAAAGCGGATTTTACTGATGTTGCCATGACGTTAAATAATTTAGAAATTTTAATTCAGATGTAAGGAAACGGATTGGAATCAAATTGGAATTTAGGAACCAATTAAGATTGTAAATATATACGGTCACACTGTAGGATAGGCAGAGTCAATAAATATTTATTATATCCGATTGTCGGACTTATGTAAAGAATTACGGACTTTAATATTGTATGTTTGGAGAAACATTTATTGTGAGCACTTGACCCACTGTGCACTGGCGAAGGTATCGATATACGTATGTATGTGTGTACATATGTGGATTGCGAGTAGCAGAATAACGTTGCGGGAATGGGAAAGACTTCGCTTATGTTTGTATGTCGGTGCGTTTGTTTGTCACCTGCACAACTAAATTGCAAACGATTTGCTGGAGTAAATTTGTGGAATTTGTAACTTTGCTCTTAATATTGGAAATAGTTTAGCCGTATTTGTAGGTCGAGAAAAGTAGTTGGAGTGGACTGTATTAGAAAGAGTAGTTAGAGTGGACTGTTTTAGAATATTTATGTAAATATACACACGCAGCTGGAACACAGTAAAAAATAAAGAGTGCAAATCTTAAGGAAAAATTTTATGACCGGGAATTTTTTACTGCGGCTGAGTTATATTTTACACACGATTGGAATTGAAAATATATTTGACAAATATTTTCGTTGAATAGTAGCACTGAAATATTTAATGGAATTGTTTCAAGTGTGCAACTGTGGGCAAAGGAAACTGGAATATTGTCGGGCACAAGTAACGGAATAGAAATACATATATTAAATGCCGTTGCGTCGGATTAATCACTTTTGGATTTAGACAATATATCATACAGAAAGTTAGTCGAAATAGGGTTCGAAAAACTGGCTGTATGACCGGCAATTATAGTAAGCGGAACTTATCTGGAGTGTTTCAAGCCTGCTGGGACAAAATCAAAGGAAACTCCAGGAGAGGAAAGTCCAAAGATTTTGAAATCCGGCTCGAAGGACCAAAATGTTGGGGCGGTGCGGCTTGATCGCTTAAATAGTTGAAGCCCCAATATTGAGTGGTACCCAAAAAACACGGGAGTACTTTTGGGGTTTTTTACGCGACGTGCGTAGGTGTTTATTCGTACACTTTGAAACATGAACTGCTTAAGCCTAACTTAACTTAAGCGCTCCAGAGCAGAGCGGAGACTTAGGGGAGAGATGGAGAGGGAGAGCGGACGGCAGTGCGAGCGCGCGAGATATAGAAATCTGGATAAAACTGCGGCTCGACACTGCCTCCTGAAATTAAACGCCCTTTTGGCGTGAACACCCTTTAAGGTTGAAAGTGTAGAAGAAAAAGTTAACATAGTAATTTCAAATAATAATAAGTTAAAAATTTTTATTTCATAATCACTTTAACTCTTTATATATATATCACGTATGGCCATACATAAAAAAAAAATCCATAATTATTATGGACAAAATATAAAAAAAATATATAAATATTGCTTTTCGATTCAAAATAATAATTTCTGATTCGAACAAAAAAAAATAATAATAATATAAAACAAAAAAAATATATATAGAAAAATAAAATAAAATGTTCATTTATATTTATATACATATACTAAGAAAAAAACTCCATAGAATTATGTTATTTTTCAAAAGGAGGGAGATGTAGCATGTTCAGTGAACTTTGTTCACATATCGAATGCACACTGTACTCAGTGTTATGCATTAATATATGTACAAACACATTGTACCACTTGGCCACAATACTTACATACAAATCTACGACCCAAGCAGTTCCCCAAGTGCACGGTAATATGACCAGTGCACCGGGACTGAGTGCACTGGGACTGAACATTGCAGAGTCAGCATAATTGCCATGCGCGGCCGTTCTGTCACCAAGTGAACATGGTATATCTCTCTTCCGCGGATACCCTCCGTCAGCCTTACATATTTATACAGAAGCGTCGACCACAGCTCTGCATAGCATAGCTGAGCGATCGTTACCCATATGCACGAATGCAATAGAATCAAAAATTATTCAAGTCGAAAGACTCAGCCGCCATGGCTGTCATCCATTCATGTAGTTTTATTTTTATAAGTAAGTCTACAGTGTACAAATAAATACATAAATAAAGCTGTTGTGTCAGCCAACTACGCAAAGCCAACTACGCAAACTGCTACCATAATCATAATTCCCTGACCAACTTTAGAATATAGCTTACTTCACTAATCATTACACTAAACTTCCGTGTTCCAAGTATTATATAAACATGTTCCAAATGAAGAATAAAACAGATATCAACGCATCTCATAACTCCGCGGCTCTACTTCCGACCTCTGGGAATAGGGCTCGTAATATACTATCTCCACTAGCAGCTAACCTACGTTAGCTCAACCTCAGCGCAGTTCCGCATCGCCTGTGGTCCGGCATCGCAGTAACCATCGTTACCATTGCCGCGACGCGATCGTCCTGCCAGCAAAGCGTCCCCGTGCCAGCGACAAGTGCTCATTACCCCCTTGTCCCGCGGTGAGACCCGGAAGTGTCTACTTCGGTTAGGCACAAACAAAGATCAAATAAAACAAGTTAGGAGCGATCAAGTCGTTTCTGCTTTAAAACAAAACAACAAAACGGAAAGTCTTTTTAATGAACAACAAGTAAAGTGCATACAAAATAATATCTACTAAAGTGGCGATGGATATAATAAAATATAAACTCCAAGTTACATTTAGAGTGGGCTGCACCTCTAAAGCGAACTGTGAAATGACAATAATCTCAAACCATTTCAGTCCCTATATGCTGTTCATCTTGTCGTGTCCTGCTTTTCGCGCAGTGTAGATGCCGGCTAGTCAACAAACATCCCAGGGAGGGGAACAACCAACAATGTTGTCTACGCAGCAGACACAACAAAAACAAAACGGAAATTCAAACCCGGACAACGGCAATTTCACGACGGATTTTTCTTGAACATCTGGACTGGACAACACAGCTCTTATCGTGGTCCTGGAGTCCCTCCCAACCATGAGTGTATCCTTCAACATCCTTTGGACACATCTCCCAATCCTGTTCGGTGGATCGTGCTACCTCGCCTAACTCATCTCACCCCCCAACACGAATTTCTACTCACACGACTTCATTTCGTTTTCACATTATAATTCACAATTTTCTCTTAAATTTTAACATTTAATAATCCAACCTACGGTACCGAACTTTTACAGGGAACACATATACAAGGGTGGTCAAAAGTATTTTCACAAAAAAAAAAGTTAAAAATATTCATAATTTGAACTTACATCTTGTTAACTTTGGCATCAATGGAAAGGTAATTTAAATGCCGTTTGAATGTTACAATACATTTCTTAACACATTCAGTACTTATTGAAAAGGACGAATTTGTGTGAAAATGTCCTTTTTGAACTTTTTTCCTCGACTTGAAAACTTAAATTTTTTGATGCAAAAAGTTTCTTCAAACAAAAATAATAGTAACTGCAAAAAGAATTTTTCAAAAATCATTTTGCTTATATTTTTTATGGTTTTTTAAAGGTGACACTGTCGGAAAAAATTTGTATGAAAAAGAGAAAAATATGCCGAAAATGCATGTTTCTAAGCATTTTCAAAAAATCATAAAAAATATAAGCAAAATGATTTTTGAAAAATTCTTTTGCAGTTACTATTATTTTTGTTTGAAGAAACTTTTTGCATCAAAAAATTTAAGTTTTCAAGTCGAGGAAAAAAGTTCAAAAAGGACATTTTCACACAGATTCGTCCTTTTCAATAAGTACTGAATGTGTTAAGAAATGTATTGTATTATTCAAACGGCATTTAAATTACCTTTCCATTGATGCCAAAGTTAACAAGATGTAAGTTCAAATTATGAATATATTTAACTTTTTTTTTGTGAAAATAATTTTGACCACCCTTGTATGTATATATAAATAAATAAATAACAATAAACAATATTCCAATAGTTTTGGATTGGTGTAAATAAATAGGTTAAATAAATAAATAATTTAAATGGATATAAGTAGGAATAAATTAATTTGGGCGGGTTACATAATCAATAACATCAGTCTCAATTTTTTTGTATTAATTTTCGGGTTGTTGAATTTGTTTGCCGCTTGTAGTTTTCGGGAACCTTTTGCTAATTCTGGGTGGCAAATATAAGGGGCGAATAAAAACCTGGGGCTACCCGGGGATGAGTGGCCAATTTTTTTGTCGAAAATTTAGATCTCCTCCTGGTGGCTGGTCTTCGTCTCTCCTTAAGTCAGTCTATTTTCCTGCTCCAGGCTTTTCCCTCACGGAATATTTGGGTAGGAACTTGACTTCTAATATTATATATATTTTTTTCCAACAGAACCGTCTGCGACCAATTATGTTTGCCCTTTAATCACCCTTGCTTGTTTCAATTTTTCAAGCCTCTCTTCGCCCAAAAACCACTCAAACTTTTCGAATTTAAACCTTGGTTCATTTGGGAGTTATCCGGTTTAAGGAACCAGTTCCATGACTTGTGTAAGCTGCACGACTCCCTGAACTCACGAGTCGTCGATAGTGTTGTATCGATTTTTCGCCTTTCGTTATCAGTCTTAATGTAAACAGCTTTGCTAAATTCACAATTTGTGCATATTTTTGTCGTTTAGCACATAACAATCTAATGCCATTCTTTTTATCAATGAGTTTACAAAACTTCTTCCTATTAATATTTAATAATTTGAGGCTCACTTCAAGATTCTTCCGTTCTAGAATGCATTCAAAATCCGCGTAGACAACGATTGGAACTCGGAGCTGATGCTGAACTTGGGTAAATTGTGGTTTATTATTCTGGATTAATAATAATAATAAAGGAATTTACCTTGAAATAAATTTGATGTCCATATAATCTCCATTTCCACCGTCTTCCAAAAACATCTTATTGATATGAAGAGGTTGTTTCACTTCCTATTGAAGAAGTGGTGCCACTATTTCCTTCGTGTCTTCATTATACATATATATATATATATATATATATATATATATCTTCATTATATCCGAAAACATTTAAGCTTATATGATTTTTCTTTTTGAAGAAATGTTTAATACATTTTATTTCAAAGGGATAGTCAACCCTGTGAAATTTTATTTTATTTCATCACTTAAACGAATTATCTCCTGCATTGTCAATATTATATGCCGAACATCTTTGAGCCTATTAACATACATTTTTTTAGGCAGAAATCAAGGCCCATTTAAAACAATATGGATCACTTTCATAACATACTTTAAGTACGGCTTTTTCGTTAAAAGGGAACGAGGTAGTGGTATGAAAGATGATCCAGCCATCGGTGTATAATGATTCACATTCATTTCCAAGCGAATCAATTTTATAAGAAACCATCGATTTTCTCTCTCTTGAAATTCTTGAGTTATAGAAATTATTTCTATGGTATGCTCATGACAGATACATTCTAAATCATAATCTTTATTCATAATCGTCAATTTTCTTTCAAAGATTTTCATTTCAATTTCTTCAGATTTATCTTTAAAAAGTATATACTCTGCAAGCAATTCAAAGTTAACTTATGCTAAAGTTTAACTTTGTAACAAAATGCTGAGATGGGAGAGCAACGATAGCCCAGCTTCGCTCAAGAAATTCTCAAGTGAGATCAAGTCCGATCCATCATTTACATGTAATGAAGCGTTCTTCCCCTAAATCCCTCAGAAATTTTTTTTACTCTTCTGTCAAGGGCATGATTGGCATTTCGCTTATGCAACTCCGAACGGACATGATTTGTCCACTTAATCTTTTGCAAGAAACACTTGCAGGATTGACAATACTGATTTTGGTTATTCATTATACCCGTTACTCGTAGAGTAAAAGGGTATACTAGATTCGTCGGAAAGTATGTAACAAGCAGAAGGAAGCGTTTCCGACCCCATAAAGTATATATATTCTTGATCAGGATCACTAGCCGAGTCGATCTAGCCATGTCCGTCTGTCCGTCTGTCTGTCCGGATGAACGCTGAGATCTCGGAAACTATGAGAGCTAGGCTATTGAGACTTGGCGTGGAGATTCCTGAGCTTCTTACGCAGCGCAAGGTTGTTTCAGTAGAGTGCCACGCCCACTCTAACGCCCACAAGCCGCCCAAAACTGTGGCTCCTACAGTTTTGATGCTAGATAGAAAATTTTAACTGAAATGTATTGTTCTCATCAATACCTATCAATTGACCCAAAAAAAAGTTTTCCACGCCCACTTTAACGCCCACAAACCGCGAAAGCCTGTGACGCCCACAATTTTCATGCTAGATAAAAAAACTGAAATGTATTGGTCTCGTCAATACCTATCGATTGGTCTAAAAAAAAATTTGCCACGCCCACTCTAACACCCATAACGCTTAAATCTGTATACCGCCGGTAGGTGGCGCATTTTAATCTCGCTTTGCTACTTGCATATCTCTATTTAGCTGAGTAACGGGTATCTGATAGTCGAGGTACTCGACTATAGCGTTCTTCCTTGTTTTATTTTATTATTATACCCGTTACTCGTAGAGTAAAAGGGTATACTATAATAGGCAGAAGGAAGCGTTTCCGACCCCATAAAGTATATATATTCTTGATCAGCATCACTAGCCGAGTCGATCTACCCATGTCCGTCTGTCCGTCTGTCTGTCTGTCCGGATGAACGCTGAGATCTCGGAAACTATAAGAGCTAGGCTATTGAGATTTGGCGTGCAGATTCCTGAGCTTCTTACGCAGCGCAAGTTTGTTTCAGCAATGTGCCACGCCCACTCTAACGCCCACAAGCCGCCCAAAACTGTGGCTCCTAAAGTTTTGATGATAGAATAAAAATTTTAACTGAAATGTATTGCTCTCATCAATACCTATCGATTGAAAAAAAACCGCCCAAATCTGTGACGCCCACAATTTTCATGCTAGATAAAAAATTTTAGCTGAAATGTATTGATTCCGTCAATACCTATCGATTAACCAAAAAAAAAATTTGCCACTCCCACTCTAACGCCCATAACGCGTAAATCTGTCTACCGCCGGTAGATTGCGCTTTTTAATCTCGCTTTGCTGCTTGCATATATCCATTTCCCTTTGGTCCCTGACTTAGCTGAGTAACGGGTATCTGATAGTCGAGGTACTCGACTATAGCGTTCTTCCTTGTTTTTAATACCTGTGTTAAAGCTTATTCCTTTCCTCGTGTTCACGCCAAAAGGGCGTTTAATTTCAGGAGGCAGTGTCGAGCGGCAGTTTTATCCAGATTTCTATATCTCGCGCGCTCGCACTGCCGTCCGCTCTCCCTCTCCATCTGTCCTCTAAGTCTCCGCTCTGCTCTGGAGCGCTTAAGTTAAGTTAGGCTTAAGCAGTTCATGTTTCAAAGTGTACTAATAAACACCTACGCACGTCGCGTAAAAACCCAAAAGTACTCCCGTTTTTTTTGGGTACCACTCAGTCTTGGGGCTTAAACTATTTCAGCGATCAAGCCGCACCGCCCCAACACCTCGTATATTTTCTTATAAACTAATTATATTCTATATCTACATGATATTTATACCCGTTACTCGTAGAGTAAAAGGGTATACTAGATTCGTCGGAAAGTATGTAACAGGCAGATGGAAGCGTTTCCGACCCCATAAAGTATATATATTCTTGATCAGGATCACTAGCCGAGTCGATCTAGCCATGTCCGTCTGTCCGGATGAACGCTGAGATCTCGGAAACTATAAGAGCTAGGCTATTGAGATTTGGTGTGCAGATTCCTGAGCTTCTTACGCAGCGCAAGATTGTTTCAACAGAAATCCACGCCCACTTTAAAGCCCACAAACCGCCGAAAACTGTGGCTCCAACAGTTTTGATCCTAGAAAAAAAATGTTAACTGAAATGTATTGTTCTCATCCATACGTATCGATCGACCCAAAAAAAGTTTTCCACGCCCACAAACCGCCCAAGCCTGTGCCGCCCACAATTTTCACGTCAATACCTATCGATTGATCCATTTGCCACGCCCACTCTAACGCCCATAACGCTTAAATCTGTCTACCGCCGGTAGGTGGCGCATTTTAATATCGCTTTGCTGCTATCTCCATTTCCATTTGGTTACTTTACCTGAGTAACGGGTATCTGGTAGTCGAGGTACTCGACTATAGCGATCTTCCTTGTTTTTGTTTAAATTCTTTTTTCACGATCACTTTTTCACTTTTACATAAGTTGTGTTTGACGTAGCAGAGTATCCCACTTCAAGACTATTTTTGGTAGACTAACTATTGTCCTCGATCATTTATAGTGTTTGAAGTGGGCGGGTACGATAATATTGAAGATGAAAGGTGCACATTTAAGTTTTTTGTAAATTCAAAAACAATATAGCTAATTCTAGTAGGTTACATCTATTATTCGTACTATTCATTAATTAGAAGAGATGAGAAGTATTTATTTTGAAAAATATTGCATACAAGTGTAACCAATAGGACACCATTAAATCGGTAAAGGAGACACCAAATAATAGAATAAAGGAGAGTGTTGGTTAGAAGAGGTCGCACATACTTTGCTTGCAGGTGGGAAAGAAAAGATCATTTCGTATACACACTATAATACTCAGGTAGCCAATAGGGCTAAGAAAAAGAATTTTCTTTATAAATTGTGTTAGCATATTTAAAAGTATAAGCCGAGATTGTTGACTTAGATAGACATCATGCATTCAGATTAAATAAATAACTTTCTGAACAGCCAGAATTTCGGTATTAGTATTAGTATTTCAGTATTATGAATATATATATTATAGCCTAAAAAAATAATGAAAAAGATTAAATAAAATAAGAAAAACACGTTCACAATACCAAAATAAATGAACATATATATTATTATGCTACAAAATAAGGCTCTGAATTTTTATTTCGAGTTAAAATTACAGGTACGGAGAATGGAAAATATTTCCTTGACTGACATATATCGGCTACTTGCGTGTTGCCGTGAGGTCGTTGGCGTTGGGCCCATGATCTTGTCAACGAGCCTTCAGTCTTGTGCATTTGTCCCTTTTATTGCTTTCAGGTTTTTTATGTTTTATGACTTAAAAGACCATTAAAATCAGTTAATTTATGGATTATGCCAATTGACCTAGAACCCGCATACATAAATGAGGGGGGCTGGGGCCATTAATATGCTAATTGTCCCAGAATTCACGTACAGCAGTACATCGGCCCCGACCAGAATATCTGTCTGTGCGCTCTCGTAAAAATTTGGATCCGCTAGTGGCAGTTCGGGAAGAGCCCGTAGTAACTGTTGCGGAATAGGACAAGATGGGAGGCTTCTTGATCTGACTCTCAAAGAAGGATTTGAAGGCGATGGGAAGGAGTTGCCTCTGTGTAGTAAGGTGTGAGGGCGTCCGCGGCACGTAAATCACCTATGACTGCTGTCGCAATAATGGAGCTGATCCCCTCTTTCAAAACAGTTCAGACACAGCTGCTGTATCTTTGTATATACCGACCGCACGTCAACCATCATCTGGAGAAATCGTGCACATAAGCAGACAGGATGGTTTTCCCTCTTACAAAGGCCACATCCTTTGGGCTCACTAGCCGAGTCGATCTACCCATGTCCGTCTGTCCGTCTGTCTGTCTGTCCGGATGAACGCTGAGATCTCGGAAACTATAAGAGCTAGGCTATTGAGATTTGGCGTGCAGATTCCTGAGCTTCTTACGCAGCGCACGTTTGTTTCAGCAATGTGCCACGCCCACTCTAACGCCCACAAGCCGCCCAAAACTGTGGCTCCTAAAGTTTTGATGATAGAATAAAAATTTTAACTGAAATGTATTGCTCTCAT